AGAGAGAGTGATTTGGTCCACCTGGAAAGGACCTTTATAGTGTCCTACTTAGATCAAAACCTAGCTTGGTGGAGCCTTTGGACCCAAAATTTTTGGAAAGCCCTACTCGTCCTAGCACTCAAGCCCCCCAAAGTGGTTTTAATATGCACCGTAGAAGTGCCACAAAAGACCAGCCCCAACAGTTAACACCCCATCCAGGTTTTAGAGAACTGACATTCAGTTTTTTATTTTAATTATATTACTTTATTGTGAGTTATTTTATTTTTTGGTTTTTCTTTTAATCAATGATGAGGTATTCTAAAAGGATTTTTGGGTTCAGCACCATTTTAGAACACCTTAAGTGGGCACACTGTTTCATGCATTTTGTTTGCATCATGCAGGACATATGTAACCATCTGCATGGAATGAAATCTAGAAGCGACTAAGGAAAAATGATACATTTAAATGTAAACTTTCCAAGGCTGTCGCTAATTCCACTGTGTTGTTTTCCTTTTGGAACCTTTAACTCTGTAAGTGCCTGTTTGGTGTTTCATTACTTGCGTCTATAATACCTTTTTGTTAAAGAGAACTAAACCTTTAGAAACTTGCCAGGTTTTCTCTATGATGCCTGGATTTAATGCAGAGTTCATGCCAAAAGGCCATGAGAAGGAAAGCCAAGCACGGATCAAACGATTTATGACCATGATGGATTCCATGACTAATGAAGGTCAGTAGGATATTTTGGTTTTTATTTCAGTATTTTTGCAGTGCTTTGCTTGTTTACCATCAAATGAAAGAATCGTTTAAAATGTCTACTGCAGCGATTTTCTCCTTGGAGGACTATGTAACTTTTCTAACTTTCAATGCAATGTTAACAGTATATAAAAAAAATGTGTACAATTATATGTCACTGTCTTTCCATTTCAAAAATAATTGTCGCTGTCTTTCCCTTTAAACACTAGTACACTCACATGTGAGCAAAACTAGACATGCAGCCGAGGCACAAGTACAAAGTGCACATGCTTGCACACCCACACACATGATATCCAACATGCATGCCTTCTCATGAAGACAGATGCACATTGTGTCTCCACATGCATGCTCGATACTTGTGCACAGACACTCAAACAGGCATGGATCCCCACATGAACACAAACACAATTGCAAACACATGGACTCAAGCTTGAGACCACAGTGCATGATAATATATGCAATAAAATAAAATATTTTGATACATATAAGTAAACATGCATGATAAATATAAAGCATAATATAATTTTGCATTTTTGTAATGATCCTGCGTATGGATTTATGCATATGCACTTGTAAGTCTTCTTCTCTTGCTAAACTTTGGTCTGTGTGTGCATGCATGCGTAAGTGCATCTTCCACACCAGTTCCCACTGAGGTTTCTGTAGTTTAGGTCTTGGAGCAGCATGTTTTGTTTCCTTCTGATATGTCTATACAAAGCAATTAGTATCTTACTTCTCCAAAACTTTCTTGAGCAGTCTCTTTTGATTGGCAAGTTCGTTTCCCATTTCTTTGTTCCAGGGACTTGTCTATAGATAGTGGTTTCCCATAAAGAATTCATGTTCTCTTGGTCATTCCTAGCAAATTATAAATTAAAAAAAAAAATGCTCTTCTGCTCCCTCACCTACTTATGTTCGCATTCTCTGTGAATTTTAGTTTTTAAGGGCTAATTCTACCACTAATGCTGCTTCTGAAATTGTATGGAGTGAGAAGTTAATTGATTTATGGGTAGTAATGCCCTTGCATATTCACATCTTTTACATACAATGAAATTTAAATAGATAATGAAAATGAGTAATTGCCATTGGTTTTCATTCAAGCATATTTTTAAAATATAGGGAGTTTTTGTCTGTTCTTTTGGTTTCTAGTGAAATTTTGTCTGTTCTTTTGGTTTCTAGTGAAATCACTCTGTTTATTGCTAGACAAAAGACCCTGAAGACAGTGTTCATGCCGCTACAAATTTTCACTGATGAACTAGGTTTCCCATGGATTATAACATTAAGGATTCCATTTTGTTTCATTGTATTTATGCTTCTTTCTTGGTCATGCATTATATTTGCAATCCTCTATGTTCTTTTTGTTGAGGCTCATTGTGTAATATAGATCTAGCACGACCATATGTGGTTAGAAGAGCTGCATTTCTTCTCGTAAGGTAAGTCTCTTACGTGTAGTTGTTGACAGTCTATGGTTATTGATTCCAATTGTGCCAATTACACAATCTTACTTGCATTTAACCAGATTCTTGTTTTCCATTCTCCTTTTATTACTTGTATTTCATGCAGAGATCTATTGTGCTTCAAGGTCATATATTTTCTCCTTGCTAATCTAAGCTCATGCATCAGATTTAATTATCTATATCTTTTTGACATGTGCATATGTGCATGCTGTTTTTCTCTGTGTGCCTCTTTACTGTTGAAGTTGTTATGCGCTCTATAGCAATTGAGACTTTTTGATTCAAGAGATCCCCAAGTTTTGCATGTTCTAGAACAGACCTTTCAAAATACCTCGATATGTTCTTGAAGGTCTCGTGGGCCAATACAGAATATTTCAAGTTGCTCTACATTGAACAACCAACAGTTCTGTAGGGTGCCGATAAAAAAGCATATGCATTAATGACTTGAATATCCCCTATTTTGGCATTACAAAAGATCATGGTTTTCTCTATATTGCATGATATATTATTCTCTTCACAATCTCATTGTAGTAGTTTATTTATTGCAGTTATTGCACTTAAAACCCAGAAATCATAATCTTCATGCTTCTGCACTTGTATCTTGGTGGAAATTGAACCACTGTGCTTTGATTGAATTAGTAAATTTGACAAGCATTGACCTAATTTTGCATCCAATTGGTCTCCTGGTCCAGAGCTTGATAGTTCAAATCCAAAGCTCTTTAATGAGTCTCGAATCATGAGGATAGCCCGGGGCTCTGGCCGAAGCGTCGGGGAAGTGATGGAGATGGTGGAGGAATACAAGCGGCTTGCCAAGTTATGGAGCAAGATGAAGGGCCTCAAGATTCCGAAGAAGGGGGAGATGAGTGCTCTTTCACGAAACATGAATGCACAGCACATGAGTAAAGTCCTTCCTCCCCAGATGTTGAAGCAAATTGGGGGAATGGGTGGCCTTCAAAATTTAATGAAGCAGATGGGCGGCTCAAAAGACTTGAGCAGCATGTTTGGAGGTGGTGACAGATGATGCAGTCTGTGGACCATGGAAACTTCACACAACCGATTGGGCATTGGTTGCCCATCGACTTGCGCATTTTTACTCTACATCAGTTGCAATCTAAAAAAATTGAATGGGCAACTCAAAAGACTTGAACTTGAGCAGTATGTTTGGAGGTGGTGACAGATGATGCTGTTTGTGCACCATGGAAACTTCACACCACCCATTAGGCATTGTCTTACTCATAGTTGGGGCCATCAGCTTGCTAATTTCTACTCATTATTATAACATCGGCTGAGCAAGATTGAATCATGATTCTTGATGGTACTTTTTTCTTTTATATGTACATTTATTGTATCAAAGGCAGGCCTGTCTTAAGAGATGTGATCCAAGCTACGGGGTATAAATGTGTTTTTGTGAGAGAGAGAGAGAGAGAGAGAGAGAGAGAGAGAGAGAGTACTATACTAGTACGTCGTGTAGTTAGGTTAGGTTAGGTAGGTAAGGAAGGTAAAGTAGGTAGTACGTTCTTAGTTTAGGTAAGTTAC